TGCTCATTGATAATTGAAAAGATCTTCAATATAATTGTCACCCTTGCATCTTCAATCTTTCAAATCACCATTGAAATCCCTCACTTTCTCCCTCTAAAACTACTCCTAAAACTAACCCTAAAACTAGAGAGGGAAACTTTCAACTAATCTAAAATTATAAGGAAAATAATGTCTAAAAACTTATTACAAAAATCGGTTATAAAAGGGTATTTATAAGAGGCGGGAAAACGAAGTCGAAAAAATCCGCCCGTGCGCAAGTTGTCCGACCGCGCTGAGCAGGGTGGCGCGCCCGTGCAGGTGGCCTGCGCGCTCGCGCTCTTTCGGGTTTCTTGAAGTCATCGTAGCTTCGTGCGCTCGCAAATGAGTCCTCGTGTGCGCACGCAAGATCTTCATGATAGTCACCAAGTATGGCAGATTCAAATGGAGTTTACGGTGGGTTCAACATCATGATCTCATGGAGCGTTGCTTGAGAACGCAAGAGCTAGAACTTGGAGCATGCCACTTTCTTACTTCTTGAGCTTTCCCAATGCTATAAGCTTGCTCCAAAGGCATCTTCCAACTTGGTAAGCCACCAATATCAAGACCCGAACCTTGTACAATACCTACAACCACAAAAAGAGAACAAATAAAGGAGAAAACACTAGAAAATCCATAAAAGTAGACAAAAACACAAAATAAGAAAGACTAAGGAAACTAAAGAGAAAATGAACAGGATCAAGCATTTATTAAGAAAGAAAGCTATAAAAAGAAGGTAAAACAACCTAAAAACTCATCAAATGAGTCCCATAAATGGCACTCATCACAGTCATGCTTAGACTTTTCAACAACCTTGCTTAGCAAATTACAAAGTGTTTTGTTAAATGCTTCAGCTAGACCATTTACGGGAGCATTGTACGTGGATGACTTATGTTGCGTGAACTTGATCTTTGGCAAAGGCTATTCATCAACTTGTTGACGAATGGCTTTCCATTATCCGTGACGATTAGTTGAAGTATTCCATACCTATAAATGATATGGGTGCGAATGAAGTCGACAACATTTTCTTTTTTAACCTCGCGAAGGGGAATAGTTTCAGCCCACTTAGAAAAGTAATCTGTGGTAGCCAGAATGTAAGTATGACCACTAGATGAATTTAGTGTGATTGGACCAACAACGTCGAGACCCTATCCTTCGAATGGCCATGATGTCACAGTTGGATGTAGTGGTTCTAGGGGTTGGTGAATGAAATTTGCATGAAATTGACATGCTTCACACTTTTTTACAAACTCCATGCAATCTTGAATCATTGAGGACCAGTAATACCCCATCCTTTTAATACGATCATGAAGCTTAGGACCATGTTGATGAGCCCCACAAATCCCTGAATGAAATTCCTCCATTGTTTTGGCTGCCTTTTCATCTTCTAAACATCTCGTCCATAGTTTATCAAAAGATCGTCGGTAAAGAGTTCCCTTGAAAAGGGTAAATCGAGAGGCTTGGCGGCGGATTTCCGTTCGATGTCGCGGATCATTAGGCAGTTTTTGGTGATCCAAATAATCAATGATAATCTTCTTTCTTGATTTGACAGACAGTGATCATATTTACCTCCTCGATCTCTTCATTTTCTGCTTCATATTCTTCAGGAGCAACTACCCAACGATTACAAATAGGCACAAACATGGTTTCCTCTGCCCCCAGTGCCAAAGTGGCTGCAAGACCGGCAAGCGTGTCAGCCATCTTGTTGGCACTCCTTGGAACATGACTTAGTCTAACAGTGTCAAATTTGTCGAGCAATCTTGATGCATGTTTGTGATAAGGAATTAAATCCTCTTTCTTGACTTCATACTCGCCTAAGAGTTGACTTATAACAAGCTGCGAATCTCCATAAACATCTAGATCTTGAATTCCCATTTTGACCGCTATTTGAAGACGCAAAATGAGAGCTTGGTATTCAACCATGTTATTTGAGCACAACTAAGTTAGCACAAATGAGTAAGGCAAGACTTGGATCTCTGATGATACAAAGAATACTCCTGCTCCCGAGCCTTCGTGACGAGCACCCATCAAAATACATTTCCCATGGTTGGAGTATTTCAATGTTGAATACACTTCTCCAAGTAAATCTACTGAAATCTCCCATTCAGGTGGTACTGGATGATCGGCAAAGAAATCAACGATGGCTTGTCCATTAACAGATTGTTGTGGTACGAACACTATATCGTACTGTTTGATGAGTACATCCCATTTCTCCAGTCTTCCTGACAACACTGGTCTTGAGAGGATGTACTTGATTGGGTCGACTTTTGAGACGACATGGACTGTATGAGCTTCCATGTAAAGCTTCAACTTTTGGATGGAAAAAATTAACGCAAGACAAATTTTTTCAATTGGTGAATAATTCAACTCGGCACCCACCAACGTTCAGCTCAAGTAATACAGAGTTGTCTCCTTGCGATCTTCTTTTCTTGAGCAGACATTGCCCCAGTGGTTTTTCTTGGGAAACAATGTAGAGGATGAGAGGCTTTCCTTTGACTGGTGCCCCCAAAACTGGCGGAGAGGACATATACTTCTTTATAATGTCGAATGCCTTTCGACATGACTCATCCCATTTAAATTGAGCATCCTTTTTCATGAGATGACTAAATGGATGACATCTGCCCTCAAAATTGGAGATAAACCTTCGAATATATGCAAGGCATCCTTGGAGACCATGAAGTTCTTTGAGGTTTTGCGGCTCAGGCATTTCTTGAATTGCCTTAATTTTGTTTTGGTCAATTTCAATTCCTCTATGTCTTATAATGAAACTTAAAAATTATCCTGAGGTAACAACGAAGGCACATTTGATAGGATTCTTTTTTAATTGACATTTTTGCAGTCTTTCAAAGATTTTACGTAGATCACCTAAGTGATCCTCCCTCTTTTTAGACTTGACCACTAGATTGTCCACATAACACACCACAGTTTTGTGCATTATGCCTTCGAAAATCTTTTGCATTGCACGTTGATACGTAGCTCCGGCATTTTTCAAGCCAAAAGACATGACTTTATAGCAAAATATCCCCTTTGAGGTGTGAAAAGTCGTGGCTTCTTGATCTTCAGGCACCATATGGATTTGATTGTATTCAGTTGTGCAATCCATGATTGACAATGCCTCGTGTCCAGTGGTGGCATCAATCATGATTTTTGTGACTTGAAGTGGGAAGTCGTCCTTGGGACATGTTTCATTTAAATCGCGGAAACCCACGTAAACTTGTAGTTGTCCATTTTTCTTCCTCACAGGGACAATGTTTGCCATCCATGTAGGATATTTAACTTCAAGAATGAACCCTGCATCAATGAGTTTGTTCACCTCAGATTCGATTTCCGAGATCAACTCCGACCTGAATCGCCTTAGTGATTGCTTCTTTGGGCTGACACCCTTCTTGATTGCCAATCGATGAATGGCGACCTTTGGTTTGATTAGGGGTATTCAAAAAAACCCGACCCGATTGTCCCGTCTCGATTTCCCGCTAGGCGAAAATACAAATTCCCCACCGGTTCAAACCCCCCATTTCGCACCGGTTTTGAACCGGGTTGGATTTGGGGGGTGCTAAAACCCCATAGATTTCGCACCGGTTCAAAACCGGTGGGAAAATGACTTTTCGCACCGGTTCTTGGGGAAAACCGATGCCAAAAACCGAACTTTTCGCACCGGTTTTTACTTAGAACCGGTGCCAAAAGTCTCCAAAAAAATTTAAAAAAACTTTTAGCACCGGTTCTTTCCATAACCGGTGCCAAAAGTGCCACAAAAAATAAAAAAAAAAAAAAAATTTTTTGCATTTTTTTCACTTAAATTGTACCAAATACTTATATATAATCATAATATACATAAAACACATATATTTGCCTCAATAACTTGTAAAATTACACTTTAAAAAACTAAAAAAAATGGACATATAAACACTAACATATATATTTTCTTCAAAAACAGCATATTGTCTGAGTTCCAGCAGGAGCTATCCTGGTCTTGTGCTAGTGGCTGCTTTGCTGGCTACTGTGTTGTGTGTTCAGGCTGACAAGCTGCTCTTCTGTTTGCTATGCAACTGTTTCTGTCTGCTGCACTGATGTGTAGTAGCCTCTCCTGTCATGTGCATAGATGAAGAACTCTTTCTCCACCCTAGAAGGCCAAAACTTAGATGTAAACTTGAGGAAGATTTTTGTATATACCATCACATCACATTTCTCTATGGCTTCTGTCTTCCACCTCTGTTTCAGACACGGAAAGTCATTATATAAGAGAAATACATTACAACACCAATGAAATAATAAGGAAATGAATACATTACAGCATTTCACAATCTCAAACTAAATTTTAGGCCATTAATCACTAAAATAATGAAACTTATACTTCAAACTCCTATTTCTCAATCAGAAAATGACATTATGTGAAATTCTCATGTACTATAGTGAGATAGTTGTACCTATCTCACAGATTTATGGGTCCATAGGGCAGGCCAGAATGCCTGCAAGTTTACCAACAAGATAATATTTAGCTTTTGAGAGTGGTCCAATTATTAATACTAGTTCGTTGCACCCACCAAAATTTCTTTTCCCTCAAATCATAAATCTTTATCAACTTTAAAGTTAATACATTTTCTATGAGGTGATGGACTGCAATGACATTAACTAAAATCAGCCGTATAAGGTAGTCATGGCTACTCTTTCAGGTTGTGGGTTGCTAAAAGGCCAGACAAAACTTTGAAAAAACCACGAAAAGCTGCTGAATGCACGTTGACACAACCGTGGCTGCTATTTAGAACTCCGTATTTGATTAACTCATACTTGGTAGTTCACTTATAAGATCTGAAAGACTTACGAATCAAATGTCAGAAACTATGCAAGTCCACAGCACAGGGCAGCTTAGCCAGGGACTTAGCCTATTGTGGACCATGTATCCTAGCAGTAATAATACTATCAATGGTTATTACTATCCTTCAGCACATTGTGCATATGGGAGGAGCGGGGATTAATTTAACAAGGACTCACACATTTTCTGGTCCCAGGCTTCTACCAACCACTAAGTTCTTTTTAGCTTCCAAATTGAAAGATGTCGAACCTTCTCTCAAAGATGCAAATTGGCCATTCTTGCGGTGCATCCTAGAAATAGAAAAGAGAAATAAAGCACACTGGTGTCAAGAAGCAATCCCTTGAGTTGACAAAAGTAATCACCTCAGCTTTTACAGTCTCTGTTTGCCTTGTTGGTTCAAGTAAAGAATGTGTTTACATGTACTTTGTGATGTGTGGTGTTATATATGAGTGAAGATAGCTACAGACCTCACGGGTTGGACTCGGGCACACGTACTAAACATTTGCTGCAATTCAAATTCTTGGATCATAGAGCCAACATAACAAGCTGATACATCTTTATAAGTGTGAACATTTGGTGTGGCAACTAATGAGTTCACAAGTTCTACATCATATCTACGACCTCCTTAGCATAGATAATAATAGAACTCCCGACAGACCAACAGTGAATACAGCAGCATAGCCATAACAATTTGGTAAACAGACTCAGAAATATGAAACTGAAAACAAAAAAAAAAAAAAAAAAAAAAAAAAAAATTAGAGAAAAATCTCACCTTTGAGCAACCTCCTTTCGTATAGTATACCTGATTTTGTTATCAAAACACCTCTCTTTTCTTTTCTCCCGAAACCTAACCAAGGAAGCTATCCGGTGAGATATAATGGATTCCCTCGCACGACTTCCAGTGGCCTACAAATTTATTACAAAATCAGCTCAAAACATATATATAGGAAACAGGTTATTATATCGTTCTCACCAGCTTCACCAAGAACATAACGAAGTGGGTTCATCTTCTCAAATTCTACAAGTCAAATCATAACTGTTAAGATTGTACTATATATCTATGATCCAAATTATTGCTAATAATTATATGTACATACTATAATACTCCAGATGTGATGAAAACGCACCGCGAATAATTACAACTTAGCTATTGTTGGAATTTAATACAGCAAATAAGCAAGCGTTTATGTTAACAAAAAATAACAGTCAGTATCATGTGTTAACATAACTTCTCAATTAAAAAAATCTTGGAAAACTAATACCACAAGAGTATTGATCAACGAAAAACACGAGATTATTTCAATTCCAGTGTTTCAAAATGATTTTAATTGAAAGCAATCATAATAAAATTTCCAACTTCACTACAAATGTTAATTAACATCCCACTAAAAACTACTACCTTCAATATATGTACATAAAACAACTAAATTGACCAAATTGAGAGCAGTACATTGGTTTTATTTAAGTGGTCAGATAATAATCATAATAAATAACGAAGACGAAGCAACAGCTTTTAGTCACCTGGATTAAATTGCTCCCCTTTGATAAGATCAACTGCTTTGTACTCATATTGAAGTCCTACAGCATGATCAAGCTCAAATTAGTCCAAATTATAATCAGAATTCGCAATTAATTGAAAATGCTAAATAAGTAAAATATTGGAGAAAAAAAATTGAGGAAAGCAAAGATTAAACCTTTTAAGTTTAAAGCAAATCGAACGCGCCACAAACAAGAACTTAGCCAAAAAGAGTAAAGCACCCTACTTGTTGATGCTGAAGATGAACATGATTCAGTAGCTTTCATCTTTGATGAAAAATATTTGATAAATTGTCAATAAAATTCCAAAAAAAATACTAGTAAAAGAAAAGAAAAGTATATATTAAATGCCAAATTGCAGAACTTTGTGATAAAGAGAAAGAGAGATTAAGAAAGTGGTGTGTAAATTAAAGGAAGTTTTGCAATGGTTGAACACAATTGGGTGGTGAAAACAGAAGAATATCTAAATTGACGACATGAATTTCATAAACCTGTTAGACAACGACTCACACAAACCAATCATCTCCTAGAGAGCAGAAAACCAAACCAAAACAATATCAAACAGTATAGAAAAACTAATAGAACTCAGGACTTCAACGGCGGCAAGAATGCAAAACTGATGCAGAGCATTTGTTCTACTAACAGTGACATTGGTGGCAATGGTGTTTGTATTTGGAGTTGACGGTGAGGGGGTGCACAGCATAACTCAATGAACAACTCAGTGCACAGCATAATTATCAACAAAGTTGAAAGACATAACAACTCGAGCATAACTCAATGCGCAATAAGTAACACAAACCGGAAAGGCAAGCTCACCTGACACCAGGTTCATTGTTCGAGGTCGTTCCGCCGTGACAAGGAGGCCGTTGTGGTGGAGGTGTAGCTGTGCGCGCTTCAATGACAAACCCTATATTACCACAACCCTAAATTACTAAATTGAAAAGAAAATCAACGACAAACCCTAGATTGCGAATGAATTCGAGGGATTAAGTAGACCACAAGAAAAATCTTACCTCGAAGCTGCTTCAATAGAGGTGAGAAAGCTCAGAATCGACTTCAATGGAGAATATAGAGCACGCGTGAGTTCAATGGAGGCCAGAGATATGGAGAGAGAAAGAGGTGCTGCTTCAGTGGAGTGAGAAAGCTCGTAAACCACTTCAATGGAGAGAGAGCGAGCTGCTTCAATGGAGTGGAGTTCGGGAAGAGAAGGAGATGCAAAAACGAGAGAGAAAGAGAAGAGCAGAACGAAGAGGGAAAGCAGGGGGGGAAAAGAAAGAAGAAGAAAGAAAGCCATAAACCGGTTTTTTTAAACATTTCGCACCGGTTTGGTTAGAACCGGTGCGAAAAAGATGATTTCCCACTGATTTAATATTAAACCGATGGGAAAAGTCATTTCCCCAATCCCACCCATTTCTTTTGCCACCGGTTTTCAAGAACCAGTGTGAAATGTGCGGTGCCTAATTCATTTTTTCTACTAGTGTCCCGACGACCCGCAAATAACCCGACGGGAAGTTTTCAAAATTTTTTGTTTTTTTCAGGTTGGGTACCCGTCCCGGTAAAATAGCACTTTCGTGGGCCGAGACATGGGACAAGCTTAGCTAATTTCGGGTAACCGGATGCCCGTTCAAAAAAAAATTGAAATGAAACTATCCGGATTTATGGCCCAGCCCACTTAGACAATTAGACCTAGGATTCCAAACTTTCAATAACTCCCAAAAAACAAAAAAACGCTCAGACCTCAGTCTTCTTCTTCTCTCTCTCTTGCGCCTCATTTTCACATCTCATCACATCCCTCGGAAATAATATTAGGGTTATTTAGCGATTCTTACGGGTATCAACTATCAAATTATCAAGCAAGAAAAGATAAAAATGGAATTTGTTGAGAATTGGATCGAAAAATTCGGAGTATCTGAGATTAATTGGAGGTTTCTTATCTCTGTTAGAGGGTTTTATTTATTTGGGAGATATCAGATCCGAATTTTGGGAGGATTGATAATTTTACTATTGGTAGAAGCAGTGGAGGAAGTGGCAAGACAGACAGAGTCGAGGCGGCTGGATTTAGTTTTGCTGTTTCTTTGTTTGTTACGGAAGCTCTAGTACTCTGGTAGTATGTTCTTTTCGTTCAATTACTAATAAAAGTAGATGGTTTGTTTAGATTTATAGGTAATAAATATACAAAAGTTAGTGTTTTCAATTCATTTTATTAGTTCTTCCACGTGTTAATTTAGATGTTGGTAGTGGAATTTGGCTACTTAATCTAATTTAACTAGTTTTTATTTCCTATTACTTTTTGCTCTATTAATTAGTTATATTATGAAAATATTAGGATTTTTTAAAAAAATTACAGCAGTTTTTTTTTTAAAAAAAAAAAAACAACAGGTTTATTATTTTATATACAGCAGATTTTCTGTAAAAAAAAAAAAGTACAGTAGGTTTTAGGTACAAACTTATTTAAGAAAAATAAATAAATAAAATCTGAGTACCCGTGTCCCGTCCCGGATAATTCGGGTACCCGAATACCGGGTACTCGAATTATCCGGGACGGGACACGGGCCGACTTATTAACTACCTCGGGTACCCGAATATCTGGGTACCCAGATATGAACACCCCTAGGTTTGAGGCCTGGCATTTCTTTGTAACTCCATGTAAAGACGTCTTTATACTCAAAGAGTAATTTGAAGTACTCTTGTTCTTCTTCTTGAGTAAGAAGAGCACTGATGTATATAGGGCATGAGTCTTCAAGAGTACCAAGATTTAACTCATCTACCGTAGCTTGCCCCACGTCTTCAAGTGTCTTAGGAGCTTCATCAATTCTATCTCCTCATCGAGATAGGGAACCTTTTCTGTCGTCACATGGTACGTGGAAACAATCTCCTTGTGTTCCTCTATAACATGATCTGATGACTCATTTTGGTTGGTGAAAACCACAGTAAGAACTCTAGCTTTTAAAGGTTGTTTCTCAGTGATGTTTATGTCTTGAGTTCGCTTCATTCGAGAGGGAACAACACTCTTTGGCTAGTCATTCATGACATTGTCTTCCCTTTTCTTTATGCAACTAAAAGAGGAATGTCTTTGTTTTTTGCTTGAGGCGTTTTTCATGCTTACACGGTTAAAGACAGATACTTTTCGCCTTAAGGGTTAAGAGCTTAAAGTTTCTTTTGCCATATGGTAACATTCTCCAAGCCTATAAAACATTGATATTTGATCCCTTATAAAAGCTGGTCAAAGTCGATCAAATATAGAAGTTTTGGGAGGGGGAACATCATTATCACCCTCACCTTCCTTGATTTCCTCGGTAGTAATGTACTATGAGGAAGAGGTTCTCACTTTACGCCACACACCAATTTTGATTAGTTTGGAGCGTTGAAATCCTAAGCCTGCCTTGGATTCTTAAAAATTTGAGCCATAGTCAATTAGTTTCTTTTGAGTTTCATTGAGTCCATTGGGTTTTATTTCAATGACCTTACTCATCGGTGTTGGGTTTTCAAAGTCATATCCCGACTTTGCCAATAGTTTGTATGCATTTTGGCCAAACTTTTCTTTGTTAAGATCTTCTACTTTAGAAGGCTCTGTTGACAACTTATAGATTTCACTTTGAGTTCCTTTACCCAATGGAACAATTGTTTTACTCTTCAAGCTTTGGAGAGTAGCATCATCAATTGACTTTGTTATTTTGGCGTCAGAGTTAAATTCTCGGTACTCAAAAGGTGATTCTCCTTCCTTGTGAAGTGACTTTGGGATATATCGCAAAATAGGAGTTGACAACTTTGATTGTTCTTTCATGACGGGATGAGAGTCACCCTTTTCGTCCACTTCTTCCTTTTGTTGTGGCTTCTCCTCAACTGAAGATGTCTTTTTGGCATTTGAAACTAGAGTAATGCTCTCCTTAACTTCTTTTTTCCTGTTGAAAGGGCTTGCGAAGGTAATATCTCACTTGACGCCTCATCCTTTTCGAAAAACTTGACGTCGGAAAAGTAAGAATAAAGGGTTTGACATCCCCATTTATCTTCTTTTCACCTCCATTATAATACTTGAGACATTGATGGAGGGTCAATGCGACAACGCCATTCTCACACAACCAAGGGCGTCCTAGCAACATTTTGTATGATGTTTTCGTGTCAATCATGTGAAATAGAGTTGATGATGTTAAATCTCCCATTGTGAGTTCTACGCGTATTATGCTTATTGCACGTTGACTGTCAAGGTTGAATCCTTGGATCACTGTGCAACTGTTAGACAATTTAACCACCTTGATTCCTAACTTTGTCATAATGGATTTTTGCATGATGTTAACACCGGATCTACCAACAACTAAAATGCGACTGACTTTTTGTTCACGGATATATCTAGACACAAACTAGGGTCGATTGTGGGGTTTTGGCCCCATCAACAAGTCATCATCTGTGAACGCTAAGGCCAAGTTACACGACACACATTTTGTGGCATCCTCCGCAGGGTCTCTAACATTTTTTACCTTATCGGCATACAACTCTGGGTGTTGGAGTGCAAGAGACAACTACTGACACATTTCTTTAGGCAAATGAAAATTTTTCCTCCATCCCACGTGTGACGGAAGAGCAGCTAAGACAGTAGATATTTTTGAGTCAACTACCGCCTTAGATTGCTGTAAAGCCAATTTCGTTGATGTTTTATTATCAACTTGTTCCTCCCCTCCTTCCACAAAGGAAACCGTATTCACCGTAACCACGGTAAAGTAGTCTTCCGGGAAATATTCTTCTAAAGTTATAGGATAGGGTGGACTTTTTGCTTGCTGGCCTCTTTTTCTTTCTTTTTACCTTTTGAATGCTTGGATTTTCTCTTCTTTTGTTGCTTTCTTTTACGATATGAAGGTTGTGGTTGAGGATTATGTACTTGTTTCCTCGGCCTTCTCCTTATCACCAATGTCCAACCTTTGTCATCTTCTTCATTTTAGGAATTAACGTGTAGGGTGTTAAACTTGGAACGAGAGTTCATGTTAAATAGGTTGACTCTCCACAAGTATGATTACAGGCTCCAAACTTCCAAATTGCAAAGTTTGAGCTTTAAATGATGATTGAATAGCTGATGAGGCATGATTTAATTTGATGTCACTGGCTCGTCATCTAACTCGACTTTTCCATCCTTCGCCAATTGCATAATTTTCTCCTTAAGTGTTATACAATTTTCGATAGGTTGACTTATATACTTATGATACGAACAATAATAGGGATCGGATGTGTTGTTCATTTTCCCAGGGCGCTTTGACTCGGGAAATTCGATTACTTTGTTTTCAAGCAAGTTGTCTAACATGCTAGGTAAGTCAGAGTCTGGAAAAGGGTATTTCTTAGCTTGAAGCTCTTTCAAAGTGGGTTTATCTTTCTTGACAAATCTTGAAGATGAACCCTTACT